AAGTGCGTTACCCCCACAGAGGCTCAGTAAATATTACGAGCTATTCATGAAGGTGTGTGTGGAAACCACTCAGGGGGGAGATCATTAGCACACAAAGCAATGGATCAAGGGTACTTCTGGCCAAACATGTCGCGGGATTTGGAAGAATTGTCCAGAAGATGCGATAAGTGCCAAAGGTTCGGACCACTGATTCACCAACTGCCTGAAGACTTGCATGTAATGGCCACACCATGGCCTTTCGCGCAATGGGGATGGATGTAGTTGGTCCTATACCAACTGCCAGAGCTTAGAATAAGTATGTGTTGCTGGCTACAGACTACTTTACTAAGTGGGTGGAAGCAGAGCCGTACCCGAGCGTTACTCAAACTCATGTGAGACGATTCATTTGGAGTAATATTATTTGCCGGTTTGGTGTTCCGAGGTCAATCATCATGGATAATGGTACCAACCTTGACAGTAAGCAGGTAAGAGAGCTGTTGGAGGAGTATGGAATTAATCAAAAACTGGCAGCAGTAAGTCATCCACAAGCCAACGGACAAGCGGAAATTACAAACAGAACAATCTTTACTTGCATCAAGAAGAAACTAGAAGAAAGGAAAAGAAGGTGGTTAGATGAACTGCCGAACGTCCTATGGGCCTACAGAATGACCCCAAGAAGACCGACCGGAGAAAGTCCATTCACCATGGCGTATGGAACCGAGGCAGTTATACTGGTCGAGCACTTAGTTCCGACTGTTCGAAGCTTGGCATGGAACCGTGAGCATAATGACAATATGCTAAGGTTTAACCTCGATTTGCTGGAAGAAAAAAGAGACGCAGCAGCGGTGAGGCTCGCCTCTTACCAGCAGACACTTGCGAACAGCCATAACAGGAAAGTAAAGCACAGAGACTTTAGGCCAGGTGACCTGGTTCTGAAAAAGAAGGTGGGGATAGTCAAGAAGATGATGCCACCATGGGAAGGCCCATACAGAATTGTAGAGGCCATAGAAAAAGGCGCATATACCTCAGAAACCATGGCCGGAAGGCTGGTTAACAAGCCTTGGAATGCTACTTCTCTAAAGAGGTATTATCAATAAAAAGTTGAGATTCAATACTGAATTTTGTTTATTTTAAATTGAAAACAGTTGAATGTATGAGTTTCTGAGATTTATAAAGATTGCACTCCTCTTTAAAATCCTAAGCAAAGTAAATGGCAGCTGGCACTATGAGCCGAATGCCAAACACTTGCTAAGAAAAATAAGAGGCCAAGTGGCAAGAGGCATTCCAGCCGAGCGCCAGGCACCTAAGCAAAGTAAGTGGCAGCTGACACAATGAGCCGAACGCCAAACACTTGCTAAGAAAAATAAAAGGCCAAGTGGCAAGAGGCATTCCAGCCGAGCGCCAGGCACCTAAGCAAAGTAAGTGGCAACTGGCACTATGAGCCGAACGCCAAATACTTGCTAAGAAAAACAAAAGGCCAAGTGGCAAGAGGCATTCCAACCGAGCGCCAGGCACCTAAGCAAAGTAAGTGGCAGCTGGCACTATGAGCCGAACGCCAAACACTTGCTAAGAAAATTAGAGGGCCAAGTGGCAAGTGGCATTCTAGCCAAACGCCAGGCACCTGAGCAAAGTAAATGGCAGTTGGCACAATGAGCCGAACGCCAAACACTTACCAAAAAAAAAAAAAAAAAAAAAAAAAAAAGAAAAAAAAAGGAAGAGTTGACACAAAAAATTTGATCAAGAGTCGGCCATATCATTAATAAGCTTTAGAAGGTTACAAAAAATGAGGTGTGAAGATGGCATATATGCCAAAGTCAGTACATTTAAAAAAAAAAAAAAAGGGGTCCTAACTAAGAGGCGTTTGCCTCGTCGGCCTCCTGATGTTGGGCTACCTCCTCATTGTTGGTGGTGTCGCCATCCTCACGAGGTGGAGAGTTAAGGTGAATGACAGAATCGTTCTATTGAATCCTACCCTCAGCAGCGTTGGAAGAATCATTCTGCTGAGGGTTATCTTCAGCAGTAACGGCAGAGGGAGTTAAAGTGGACACAGGAAAAATGTCCAAAGTCAGAGCGGCAGGAGGAGTAGGAGTGATCCGAGAAGATTCAATCTCCTGGCATTCATCAAATATCCCCTCGGCAGCGGTGGAGTCTGGATCGGTATAAACACCAGGAGGGTCAATATCCAGATCCTTATCAACGTCATCAGGGGTAGAGCCAGTCTGACCCTCATCAGGGATGCGATCGGCGTAACCCTCTCGGAACCCCTGAGCATATCTGAGGGCTCCAACTCTAGAGAATCGAGCATGCAGAGCTAGCATACCACCATTTACCCTGCTGATGGTATCAAGCAAAGCATTGCGCTCGTCCAGGGCCCTCTTCTCAAAGGCCATCCGAGCAGATTGCTCGTCATTCAGAAGGCGTAGCAGTTCTTCCTTCTCGGCCCTAAGGGATTCCCGTTCGGTCTGCCAGACGCTCTTCTCAAGTTGCAGAGCATTCCGCTCATCCTAAAGAGAGTCAGTCTCCCTCCTCAGCGAATCCCTCTCTTTTTCGGTTTTACCAAGTTGAACCATCAACCCGGTCTTCTGAGCAGCTAAGTTGTCGTTCTCCTTGTTCGCTGCACTAAGGCTGTCAGAAAGCGCGCGGACCTTGGCATTCACCTGCTCAACTTGTTTCTGCATAGCCATCATCTCGTACAAGGTCTGTAGAGATATACAGGACAACTGGTTAAGCCGAACAGATGGTTAGAAGAAAATAAATGGCAAGAGTATGTAAAGATTTATTAACTGAGGGGTAGAAGTTACCTCCATGGCGGACAAGGGGAATCGGCTGAACACCTCCCTCTGAGATAGACCTTTGGCCACCTCGATGTCCTTGGGAGTCCACATACTCCTGTAGTAGGCCATCGCGGTTTGACCATCTTTGAACATGGTCTCGGTCGGTTTCACTGACGATCCGTCTGTTCGGACGAAGCGAGGGCTCCATGGCGCCGTACCTGAAGCGAAGGTTTGCCCAGAAGGGGTGAGGGGCCTAGCTTGAGGAGGTCTCACCAGGGAAATCACATTCGGCCCAGAGGGCCTAACCCTCTGGGACAAGGGAAAGTCATCCATGCTCAGAGCACTATCGGGTTGATGCCTTTTTCCTCTGGCCTTTTCCCGTGCGGAAGCAGCAGTAGAGCTAGGAGGATTGTTGACAGAGGGGGCAACGTTTGGGCTGGCAGTCACCGTGTTAGCGACCGGGTCAGTAGCCATCGCGGATGGATCGGTGGAAGGAGTGGTGTCAGAAAGAGTAGCGGAGGAAGATGCTGAAGCCGGTGAGGAATTTGATGCAGGAGTGATAGTAGGCCTGGGGGCAGATTTCTTCCTACCGAAGGAAGGGATCTGGAGTTGGCTTATTGTCTTGCCGAGGACTGAGATGTCGAGGAGATTATCTGAGGTGAGAAGGTCCGAGCAAGAGGGAACGTTGGTCAGAACGTACCGCTTCAAGTAGTTATCCCTATCCCTGCACACACTGTAGCTCAAGTCATCACAAGGAATGCCTAAGGAATGGCACAAGAAAGAACAAAAATGAGGAATGCAGATCTCGCAAGGACAGTCACTCTTATGGTTTTTATATTTCTTGTAAAAAGAGACAGAGCACTTTCCGAAAGCGCTTGGGATAGGGAAACCCTCCGCAGCTGGAGAGAACCAGGCTCCCCTAACCCCAATAATGTTTTTCCTCCAGCCCTTCTCAGATTTGATCTTATATGTGCAGATAGACCTCTTCTCAATGGGAAAAAGGTGGTAAAACGGTTCGTCAGTTCTGATCTTGCTGACCTTGTAACAGAGGAGGAGATCTACGAGGTCCAGATCCAGACCTCTGTCACGAACCAGGAGTAGTATAACGGATAAAATCCTAAGGAAATTGGGGTTTACTTGTAAAGGGGAAAGATTTAGCTTGTTAAAAACATAGCAAAAGAAAGGATGTAGAGGAAATCTAAGGAGATTGAGATGGAGGAGTGAAAACAAGGCCTCACCAGGAAGAAGGCCAGCACTGGTTCTAATATTCACTTCCCAGGGGCAGTTTCTAATTTCTACATCATCAGGAAGTTGAAGTTTCATGCGAAGAACGTCTAGATCTACTGTCATGGTGTGAGTGGATGAGGATTCCGGGGAGAAGAAAGAAGTCTTCCAAAAGAAAAATGCAAATGAAACTAACCTTAGAGAGTGAAAACGGCAGAGAAGTATTGCAAAGCCACTGGAAGGAAGATCTTTCGCAAGAGATCGCCGGAGAGGATTCAAGCAGCAAAAGTTGAGATAGAGACGGTAAAGAGGATCGATGGAGAGTTGATGGAGCTTATAAAGACGAGATAAGCCTGAGAGCCGAGGAGTCAGGAAAGCGATGGGTTGTCTTTTTGAATCTCGAAGCGCCGACCCCTAGATCTAACCGTCCATTCTCCTACACGATCTCCTCGAGCCGTCAGGTCATCATTAGCAGCCTCTAATAATTACCCCCTAATCAATAAGGGGTAATTATAGGGGCAGTTGAGGATGCGGCAAGTGGCATGGGCCGGATATGGATCGCGAAAACGAGATCGGGTCGAATGATTGAAGAAGGATTCATGCCAAAGCACCCTGGAGTGGGCCGAACGTGGGGGGTCCACTGAGGAAGGTCAAGCCCATTACAAGACCCAACCCAGAAGGAAGAGAACTTTGGGCTATAAGCCCAATGTAATTGGTTAACTGCAAAAGAGGGTCATGGCCTATAAATAGACCATGACGGGTGGAAAGTAGAGAGGAAGCTAGGGAGAAGAGGGAGAAGAGAGAGAGAGAGAAAGTAAGAGTGAGAGAGATGAAACGGAAGATTGTATCTTCAGCAAATTAATTGAATCATGTACCAAAGCATTATTGGTTGCAATTGAAATTGACTGTTACTGCCTCTTATAGAAATAGGTTTGTTTGAAAATAGTTTGATTTATGCCATTGATATCCACCAAGATATTCCAGCCAACCTATCTGTGTTGGCGTTTGATACCCTTTTTTAGTATTCAAAGGTTAAACTTTTAACAGGAAAATGCATTTCCTAACCTATTCTACTACTTACTGAAGGTGCCACCACCCCGATGATAATTGGTTATGTTTATGCTGTAAGGATGTTCTTTGCAGTCGTTATGTGAACAAGCATATGCTCGATCACTTTCAGCAGAGCAAACATTGTGTGGCACTAGGCTACAGGTATGTTTTAAAATATATTTATATTTTAAATAGAATTCCTTCTGTATTCTCATTTTTCTTTTATTGGACAATATATTTCAGAGTTCTCATTTTTTATTTGTTTACTTTTGGAAGCAGTGATCTGTCAGTTTGGTGTCACTTGTGTAATGCATATTTAGATGCTCAAGTGATTTTGCCACTGCGTCCTGTTTATGAAACTATTTACAGACTGAAATTTGGTGAAGCACATGAAGCCCCACCATCTCAAGCAATTGAATATTTGCAGATAGAGGATAAGAAAGCTGAGGTCTCAACTTCAGGCAGTTAAGTTCATCTGATGAAAACTTCAGACAATTAAGTTATTATCTGCCCTTTTTGCCTACATTTGTATTTCCATTTGAAGTTTGAGGTTGCTATGCTATTCATTCAGAACTGCAAAATTGGATGAGGTTAATTTCGGTAAATTTGTTGACCTGTTGAGTTTAGGCATGCATTTGTGTAGTTAAAACTGTTTTAAAAGAAATTTTTCAGCGAGCAGCCCTTGCTATGAAATTCATTCCAGGAAAAACGGTCATTTTATTAGTGTTTACAATTTGCTTGCACTGGTGGTTTCCTAGTGATAGAAATCTTTCCATAAACAAAGCACGGGGCCGCCGCTGTTTCTGAAATTTCAGAAAATGACTTGGTTGCCCTTGTCCTGTGTTAAAAGCCTTTAATAGCCTTCTCTTTTGACATGAAATGACGAAAATACCAGGAAAAATTACACTTACCTCCCTTGTAGGTTGTCTAAATATTAGGAACCTCTACTCTAGTTTCAAATATAACACTGATCTCCCCTCTAGTTTAGGTTTGAGTAACACTAAGCTCATCTGTCGTAATATCTGACAATCTTGTCATGCTCAATGTTAACTTAAAACCCGATAATGCACTTAGAAATTTTACATTAAAAAATAGTAAAAGTATAAATAGTTGTTTAACACTATCGGGTTGAAGTCAACACTGATAGGAGAGATTAGTGTTATATTTGAAACTATAGGAGAGGTCCCAGTTATTTAGCCAATCTATAGGGAAGATAAGTGTTTCAATTTTACACTATGTAATACATTCTCTCACGTTTGTCCTTCTTTTAACCACTTAAATTACATAATACAAATCTCATCGTCATACTCATAATTAAAATTGTCTAAATGCATTTTGCAAGAACACTATCATTCTAATACGCTTCTTTGTGCCTGTGCTTCAAACGTGTCTTATTTTTGCCCGATATTTCATTAAATTGCTGCGTTTGGTATACAGGAATGGAATGGAATGCAAGTAGGAATACAATAGAATGACCATTCTCATTTTATTGTTTGGTTGCAAATATGACTGGTGCATTTTGCAACAAGTCAATATTTGAAAGGTGTTTAGTTTACCAAAATGTAAATGAAAATGTACCACTTCCTCCTACATTAGACACTTCCGAGTGAAGTTTTTTGTTACTTATTACAAAAATGTTATCAACCTTCCAAGTTTGTGTTGTCATCTAGTTTCCTTTTTGTGAACGGACACTCCACTTTCCCTGCACAAAAGATGGGATTAATTATATTGATGACACTCCCTCAAGTTTGCCTTAATTATATGCAAATAATTTTTTTGGACATAAGATTTTGGCACTCATTCAGTTTTGGCACACCGGGAGTTTTTCTTGGACAAGTCTTGAAGTACATCCAAACAAACCCATTCAGTGTTCAAATATATACAAAATTAGTTAGGACATTCTTGTCACACAATGTTGTCTATGACTAAGAACTCTTAAATATTTTCAAAGAAAGAGAAATCAATGAAAAGCAGAGGTAGGTTAAGGAATTAAGTGTTAAAAAGTCTTCTTGTAATACCCTTTAGTACTGATCATTATAATTAGCATTATAATGGATTTTAATTGATTTATTTGATCATTTAATTAGTTTTGGATTTCTTATCAAAGTATATATGAGATCATGAAAATCTCTTGTTAAACACATCTCATGCATCATGCTTGATTTTTTTAGTGTTGGTACAACATGTGGAATTCCAAACATGGTTTATATCATTTATGCTGATAAATGATATAGAACTGAATGATTGATGATCATTTTGTCATAAAGTTTATTGCTAGAAAGTAGAAAATCACTGGAGCAAGACCAACACTTGAAAAATAATTGTATGAAAAGAGAAGTTTTAGGTTTTGGCTTATTCAAACCGAGAGCCAAGATCTATATTTATATACAAGAATATGGTACAAAGAGAGGAAACCAAATCAAAGAAAGACAGAAAATATGCAAAATTTACGTGATCCCATGATTATGGGGATCTTATCACGGGATCCCATAATTACAGGGATCTTATCTACGGGATCCCATAATTATAGGGATCTTACGTAAAACACCTAATAAAAGGCTAAAAATAACTAATAAAAATAATAAAGATATTTCAACACTCCCCCTCAAGCTGGGGTAGAGATATCAATCAAGTCCAGCTTGGTAAACGAGGAATGAAGCAAAGATGAACCAACAGATTTGGTGAACACATCGGCCGATTGATTAGAGGAACGAACAAAGCACGACTTGATAATTCCCAAACGAACCTTTTCTTTGATAAAATGAATGTCCACCTCTATATGTTTAGTCCTCTCGTGAAGAACAGAATCTGAAGCAAGCGTAATGGCTGACTTATTATCACAAAACAAGTCTGAGGACTGTTTTCACCTTGCCCTAGCTCCTCCAAGAAAGATCGAAGCCAGAGAATCTCACAAGTACTCTGAGCCATGGCACGATACTTAGCCTCTGCTGAAGATCTCGAAACTACAGGTTATTTCTTACTTTTCCAGGATATAAGATGGTCTCCACCGATCCTCGTGTGGACTTTTTGGCTTAGGAGTTGGTTTATGTGGCCAGACCAACCTTTAGGTCTAGAGTTCAAGGATTGGTATTGAAGAGAAGAAGCAAAGAAGAAGAAAAGGTATTTCAAAATACCTCCATTGAAGGAAAAAAAAGAATTTTTTTATAAAAAAAAAAGTATATAAGATGGTCTCCATAGAAAGTACAAAAGCCAGATGTTAAACGTCTGTCAGTCTTGGACCCAGCATAATTTGCATCACTGAAACAGGATAGCCCAACCTGCTTGTTAGAATAATAGAATAATTAAAGCCAGGACAGGACTTAAGATATCGAAGAATATGATATACTGCATCTATATAAGCTGTACGAGGAGCATCCATAAACTGACTCACAACACTAACTGCAAAAGCCAAATTAGGATGGGTGTTGGTAAGATAAATCAATCTTCCTACCAAGTGCTGATTTTGTGAGGGATTAGAAAGGAGATCTCCGGACTCAGCCGAGATCTTCAAATTAGGATCTATAGGAGTGGAAGCAGGTTTACACCCAAGCATACCCGTGTCTCAAAGAAGATCCAAGACATACTTCCTTTGCGATAAGGAGATACCCTGCTTAGATCTAGCAATCTCAATTCCTAAGAAATATCTGAGTTGCCCAAGGTTTTTCACATCAAAAGCTTTAGCCAATTAAAGCTTTACTTGAGCAATTCCAGGGATGTCATTGCCAGTAATGATGATATCATCAACACAGACAAGCAGAATGATACATCGACCAGTATGGGTGGCAAATTACGACATGACACAAGTTAAAAGGGTTTGGGTTGGCATAAACGGGTTTGGGTTATAAAAGGGTCAACACGATTAACCCGTTTACTTAACCGTGTCGGGTTAGGGTTGAGGGGTTCAACCTGTGTAACCCGTTTATAACCCATTTAACTCAATATGTTATAATCGTGAATATAACCTATGTAATATGGTTACCCGTTAAAACCCAATTACTATGGATAGTTAAGTTATTTCAACATAAACCTTGTCCATGCCTTATGATTTTTTTTTTTCCAATATTATAGTTAATTATGACAATTTTTTCTATTATTTAGTATTTGATTAAATATTAAATGTCTCATTTTGATAAACAGGTCATTAAACGGGTTAACACGTTTACCTGTTTAATAAACGGATTGGATTAGTGTTGAGAATTCTTGACACGATTATTAAATGGGTTGGGTTTGGGTTTACCTATATAGTATAATATCCTTACATCGATACGACACGAACACGAATTGCCACCCCTATCGACCAGATGAGGAACGGTGGACAAAACATGTATGGTCAGAATGGCATCTAATAAACTCCATGGATAGAATTACATCACTGAAGTGGCTGAACCAAGCTTTGGGAGCAATCAATAGACCTTTCCAGCATACTTCCCCTCAACCCAAAAACCGGGTGGAGGATCCATGTAAATAGTCTCAAGAAGATCACAGTTAAGGAAATCATTCTTCACATCAAGCTGATGAAGAGGCCAATTGTGAGAGGTAGCAAGGGAGACAAACAAACGAACTGAGGTCAATTTAGCCACTGGAACGAAGGTATCATTAAAGTCTTTACCAGGAATCTGAGTAAACCCTTTGGCCACCAAACGGGCTTTATACTGATCAATAGAGCCACCAGTCAGATATTTAATACTGAATACCCATTTGGAACTAACAGTCTTTTCACCAGGAGGGAGAGATATAAGCTCCCACATTTCATTATGCTGCAAAGCATCCATTTTTAAGCCTCAGACTACTTTTTGGGAATGGAAATGGAATCAAGTTTGCCTAGAAAGGCTCGGTAAGATCCTGAAAGACCATCATAAGAGATATACAGCGAAATAGGATGATCTGTACTACAAGCGAATCTAAATCTGGCAGGGGGTTTGCGGTCCCGAGTTGGATGTCGAGACTCAGGAACAAGAACAAGGTCAGGGCAATGTAAAGGAGAGAGAGATGTACTTGAACCTGTGTTTGAGGAGGATGAAGGCAGTGGAGGGGGAGCACGAGGGCAGCGTGAATAGACCTGCAAAAGGGGTGAAGAAACAACAAGAAAAGGCTCTTCTTGGAAAATAGGAAGAGGATGAACAAGATGAGAAGCCTCTTGATCAAGAGTAGAAGTTTCCTGTTTCCTGTAAGATAATGTTAGAACCATAAAAAGGGGTATGCTCATGAAAGGTGACATCAAGAGAGTGATACATGTGTTTGTGTACTGGATCATAACACCGGTAACCTTTTGACATGGAAGAGTATCCTAAAAAGATACATTTAAGTCATCAAGTTTAGTACGAGAAGGGCTACGATTATGAACAAAACATGTACATCCAAACACCCAAGGCATGATTTAAAAAATTGTAATATCAGGTTGAAGCACTTGTAAGGGGGCCTTACCATTTAAGACTCTATTAGGGGTACGATTAATGAGAAAAGTAGCTGTAAGTACCGCCATGTGCCAAAATGACTTTGGCATATTCATACCACTTAAAAGACATTAAATAACTGACATTAATGGCGGTTTTTACGCTCTGTAATACCATTCTGTTCAGGGGCATATGGGCAAGTAAGCTGATGAAGAATACCCTGTTGGTTAAGTTGAGACCGAAACTCATTGGAAATATATTCACGACCATTGTCAGACGTAATATTCCAACAACAGTTTTATATTGAGTTTTGATCATTTGGAGGAATTAAGTGAACAAAGGAAAAACTTTATATTTCTTTTTAAGTAAATATACCCATGTGCAATTGGAATAATCATCAATGAATGTGACATAATAACGATGCCTCGAAAAAGCAATAACAGGAGAAGGACCCCACATATTAGAATGTATGAGATTAAACATACTAGGTGCACGATGCATATGAGAAATATAACTGGTTCTAGTATGTTTAGAAAGCTCACAAATCTCATATTGAAACTTATTATCCTTACGAGCCGTTATTAATTGTGATACCCCTCGATTCTAGAGTCACGGGTTGATTAAGTCCATGTCTAAAATCGAGGGATACTAAACAAATAAAGTAATAGATAAGCACAAATTACAAAAGATAATAAGAATAAATAATAAAGCTGAAAGAAAACTAAAAATAATACTTTAATAAATCCTCCAAGAATAATATCCCAATAAAATAAATCTCCAAATACTCTAATACCAATAATCCTATAGATTACAACTCGGGAATCCATAATGTGGACCTCTAATAAAATCCCAACTAAAACTATAACTAAAATAAATAACTAAATCTAAAGTTTGAAAGCATAAAATAGAATCCTATGTAGACAATCGGAAGAGTGATGAAGACTGGACTCTAATCTGCACGAACAATCTCTAAACCTAACGAACACCTGTAAAATAATAGTGGGTCAGGCCCACAAACAAGTGCTTCTTTACTACATCCCAAATAGAGACTCGATACACAAATACATTCTAGTCAACTCATACAATAACTACGTAGTCCGTGTATATACATAGATACACACTAAAGGAATCTCATTGGACTATAGGGCGGCCTCAACCGGATAGTAGCCAATATGCAAAATGCACACATGGTGGGCATGAGTACCATGATCTACCAGGGCGTACAACGATCCACTATATCCAGCTATGCATCCCAAGGCAATATACGCTCCCTAACCACTGATCTTGAGATCTCAAGCTAATATCATGACATATATCCATATATATATATAAATCCATATCCTATTCAAAACATAAAATAAACTATCCGCCATAATCTTTCAATGGCATGTCATTCACATGATTCCGTGACCTCACACGAAGAGATAAGATTAAACTTAACAGCCAGTCCATCCAAAATATGCCCCCATATCCTGACAATGGTGCATTAATCCATAATCATATTCTAATAATTGTAACGACCCACTCCATCACATGGTATGATATTGTCCGCTTTGGTCCTGAGCCAGTACAGTTTTGTTCTTAGACTTTACCTCAAAAGACCTCATATCAATTGGAGTGACACATCTACATATAAGTACTTTACCGTTCCCTTATCCAGGCGATGTGGGATTATGCACCCGTAGTCCGCCAGTGTGGTAGCTTGCCGATGTCTCGCACCCACTCACGTCATACCTGCCCACATGGTCATCACAATCCACTCTCCTTGGAGGCCCGACGTCCCCGTTGGCACACTTCCGGCTAGGTCAGGCTTTGATACCATTTGTAACGACTCAGAGGCCTTTGGGGTAAAATCTAAGAGCAAAACTGTGTGGGCTCAAGCTCAGGCTCAAAGCGGATAATATCATACCATGTGTGGTGTAGTGGTATGATATTGTCCATTTTGAGCCTGAGCCCGCATGGTTTCCAATCGAAACAATGATGCAAGCATGTATATACATCAAATAATCCAGAAATACACATGATATAAATGATACAGATACCCATTACACTTAATTAAGCAATATGAACAATTCTAAGTAGCATGCAGTTAACTTATATCACAAGTAATTAACCTACATCTCAATTAAATTGTATAAACCTCCACAAGCATGATTATAATCATTTAAATATACTTTAACACAAGTAACAATATAAATTTCAGCAAACTATCCTTTTGTGATTAATAATCTAATTAATATCGTGAATCATAATTACAACTCTCATCAACCATGAACCCACTACGCTAACAATTTATTAGGTCGAGCCTGGGTCCAGGGGGGTGGCGCCCCAGGGCCAGAAAATATCACTTAAATGGACATCAGTTAAAAACACCCCATTGGGATAGTTGAGGAGAGTTTTTTGCTAAAATTACTCATAAGGGGGGTTTTTCGCAGCTGACTAATAGTCGAGGGGGATTTTTTGCAATTCTCCCATTAGATTATTGTATTTAAGTTTGGTTAAAATATACAAATATATGAAATATATATATATATATATACACACAAATTGATAATAATAAAAATTAATAAAACTAAAAAATAACTAAAGAAAAGGAACAATAGAACCTGATTTAAAAAACCCCAATCTAATGCTCCTACAAATTCTTCAATAGAATAAAAATAGGTTCAAATGGGAGTAATGAGTATTGAGTGAAGAAGAAAGAGAACTATAAAATTGTAACAAGAGAGGACGGAGATGACTTGTTGAGAGAGCTCAGAGAGGAGAGACAATATGTGAGGAATAAGATAAAAAGTAAATAAATAAAAGATAAAAGTACGAAAAAGAATATGTAAAAAAGAAAAATTTAGTGGTGTTGTAAAAAATGCATAATGAGAGAGAGAAAAAAAAGTTATTTAAGAATATAAATATTTGGGACCAATATTAAAATTTCTATATTGATTATATTTTTAAATTCCAAATTTTGAGGCTCTTCCAAATTAGAGGCCCTAGGCCACTGCCTAGGTCGCCTATGCCTAGGGCCGGCCCTGGATTTATGTACATTCATGCACGCACACATACTGTCTTTATATTTGGCCATCTAAACCTAGCACAATTCATACTTATCAAAAAAAAAAAAAAAAAACCTAGCACAATTCACAAGACTCATAACCGACATACTGTCTTTATATTTGGCCATCTAAACCTAGCACAATTCACAAGACTCATAACCGAGAAAGCAGAAAAGGGCAAGTTTGTACTCCTACCGATGATTTTTCCTACAGTCGGTAGGCCATAGCCTATATTCTCTTATTTTCCTGTGTTCTTGCATAATTATTTATAATTTTATTTTAAGTCAAGATCTCTTATGTATTGCACATATCACTGATTTTTTTTCAGTAATTGTCTGTTAATATGAGACGCAGATATGTATGTATTTGGTGATAGATTTTAGGGTGCCTTGAGGCACATGAAACTATTATTGACAAATTAAAAAAAAAGAAAAAATGACTACTGATTTTGGTCATGTCGTTTTGATATTCTTAATTTATAGCAGCAGTTACCAGATCACTAAGAGATGTTCAACCAGCACACTATCTATTCAAAATAGAATCTTTCTCAATACTTTTGGAATCGGGAATTGAAAAACATGTATCAAATGCTTTTGAAGCTGCTGGTTATAAGTGGTGTGTTTGAATCTCTTTAGTTTCTTCAATTTTCTCCTTGTTTTCATAATTAATGTAATTTAGAAATTAAAATATATTGGATTTTGTTTTTGGTTTTTCAGGAAGTTGTCTTTCTATCCGAATGGTAACAAGAAAAAAAATGTGAAAGATCACATCTCAATGTACCTGGTAATAACTGATACAGATAAACTTCCTTGTGGTTGGGAGGTTAATGCAAATTTCAAATTTTTTGTTTTTGATCACATCCTTGACAAGTACTTAACAATTGAAGGTAAGTTCTCTGTATCACAATTTTTTTATAATCTCTTGTTACAATATAATATTTCAATTTATGTATGCACATATCTATATCCGTAGATGTTGTACAAGTAAGGCGCTTTCATAAGATGAAGACAGCATGGGGTTTGGACCAATTTCTTTCACCGGATACACTTAAAAATACCTCGAATGGGTACCTTGTTGATGATTGCGGTGTATTTGGAGCAGAAGTTTTTGCTATTAAACATGCAGGCAAAGGGGAATGTCTCTCCATAAAAAAGGAGCTATATAACAACATCTACACTTGGAGGGTTGCGAAGTTTTCATCAATAGCTAAAGAATATCTTTACCCTGATGAGTTTAAAATCAACGAATGGAAGTGGTAAGATCTCTTCTATATTTTTCTAGTGGAAAATGATATATATATATATATATATATATAGTTAGTTAGTTAGTTATTTAGGTATTTTGGAGATGTTACTAAAATTCTAATTATAGATATAATGTGGCTGTTATTTATTTATTTATTTTTATGGTACTGAGTTCAGGAAGATACTACTCTACACCAAAGGAGATAAAAAATCAGATGGCCGAAGCCTCTCTCTCTATCTCCAACTTGCTGATTGTGAAATGCTTCCTCTGAATGGGAAACTGTATGCAAGATACAAGCTTAGGTTAAAGGACCAAGTCAACAGTAAACACCATGAACTTGAAGGTGAAAACATATTACTATTTCAAGCTACACTTGATAAATTGGCTTGCATTTGACAAGTGCTTATTTTAAATTCACCAAACTGAAGTATAGAACTTTGTTTTTCACTATTTTTTTCAATATATATATATATATATATATATATATATTTTTTTTTTTTTTTTTTTTGTGGCTAAACTAAAAGCTGTCATTTGAAAATATTTTTGCAGATACTTGTTGGTTTTATCATCATCCCTCGTGTGGGGGTTTCAGGGACTTCATTTTGCTCAGCGATCTCAATGACTTGTCAAAGGACTTTTTAGTGAATGATAACATAGTGGTTGAAGCTGAAATTTTGACCATGTATGTGATTAAGAATTTCACATAAAATTTTGACGAATTTCAGCAGGTTATGTTCATTTTCTTCATGTTTAGATACTCTTCTTGACTTTGTCTGTGACTAAGAAGCCGTACATTTTTGTTCTCTAGTGCAATAGGAAACTTCTCTCTGCTTTTCATTTCAGTCTTTGCTTATTTATGAGAGAAAAAAACGAAAAAGAAATGCCACTTCCCTCTGTAATAAAAAATTGGCTCGGCTTGTATTAAAAAATTAAAATAACACAACATTCTGTGTGTAACTTGTGTAATAAAATATTGAGTTAAAATTTATCGATAGAAAGTGAGTTCAGCCTATGAAATCGGAATGTAGGATAAATCTTAAAACCCTTTAGAAACCGACTACGATTTGAAAGGCGGGCTTGTGTTTCAAGTAGGCCCAGCCAAACCTGGGTCAAAGTAAAGCGAGCTAGAGCCCGGACTACAAATTTCTGGTCCAAGCTCCCGTTTTTCATACTTCCGTCTTGTGTTAATGCGGCGCTGTTCCTAAGAATATACTACAATTTATTTTTTATTTTATTTATTTTATTTTATTATTATTTTTTTTCAGTGCATACACCCCGATATCTAGGGGTGCATATATTTGGATTAGTTTGAAAGTTTTTTGGAACCAAACCGATCTTAATGGTTCTAGATTTTCTAGAACCAAATTAAACCATTTGATTAAAGGAACCAAACCAAACTAAACCGTAAGAAACCAGATTGGTTCTACGGTTTCTCTTTTTTTTTTTTTTTTTTAAGTTGACCAATATATTCAAAATTGCTAATATATTCAGAACTTTTAATTCATTCTTCTTTGTTACTTTTTGAATTGAAGTGAATACATTCAGAATTGCTAATAACCCATTCAACAATAAACATTCAGCCACAATTCAAAAAACCAACAGAATTCAGCCACGGTAAATCAATAAAAAAATAATAATCATCTAATAAATTGATAAGACCTAAGTGAATTAAGAATGGATCGTAAGATTGATAGTTGCTGCAAACTTCTAAATGATTTGGATTGTAATATTATATATATATATATATATATATATATATATATATATATAATTTAACATATATATATAACTAAATGGTTCAGTCCAGTTCGGTCCTAAAGGACCTCAAACCGTGACTAAACCACTTCTTTACAGTTTCACAAATTTGGAATCGTGATTAAACCAAACCGTTAGCAAACCAAACCTATTTGGTCCAGTTTGGATTTTCATTTTACCAGATTTTTGAGCACCCTTAACGATATTGTTCTAACATAAAAAAAAAACTTTCATTTCTTATACTCTCTAAAAGTAAACATAGAAGGGTGTGATAACTATTACACCCCTGTCCCAAAAAAAAAAAAAAAAAAAAAAAAAAAGAAGTCATTTTTGGGGAGTCGAAATTTTTAAGGGGGCACTTGGGACATTCTTTGTCTCCTTGAAAAGTTATTAATTTGCTCTTTTAAACTTTGACAAGTTTGAAATTTTAAACTTCAAGGACATATATGAAAATATGTGAAATATATTGATTGAAAAAGGAAAATGGACAATTATTTTGGGATAATCCAAAAAAGAAAGAAAGATAATTTTTTTTTGGGACAAATGGAGTATTATTATTATCATTTATGTATATATGTATATATATATATATATATATGGACAATTCTTGCTGAGACCATATTGTGCCCTAATAGTTGTTATTGTGGCTTGCTTCTTTTGGGAGAGAGAGTTTGGAGAACAAATATGGAGAATCATGTTTCTTAAATGGGTCTATTAGTTAACCCATTTTAAATGAATATCAACCACTTTTAACTTGGTACATGTGTTGTTATTTCCTTGGGTAACCTTACTTACGTTACTTAGTAGAAGGAAGTTCATTCTTATACAAGGACTGACGTAAGCGGAAGCAATAAATTTGTTCACAATGAGCGGTTTACTTTGAATCCACAAAGTAGGGTGTTTTGAATTCACAAAACGAATGATAATGTTAGAAAAATATGATATTTGTACTGATAATTGAATGAATGATTCCGATATCTATATTACACATATTTATAATGAAAGAAAAATCCATAAGGAAACTAACTGCAACATGAATCCTTATAATATAAGAAAATATAATCCCAAAAGGATATTAATACTTAAAAAATAGCCTAAAAATAAAGTTTCTCTAAAAATTCTGAAACAATAGATAAAGAAACCTAATAAGATAAAACTACTAAATATAAAATATCAGTGCAATCCGATAATGAACAAAAATCAAGAAATATTCGATAGGCTTTTATAGGACAGAAAAACCCCGTTTTGAGGCCCTAAACGATGGTATTTTGTTGAAAAATAGGTTACGTCATGGCGTAGTGGTGAGTCTTGCTCGTTGGGCCAATTCCAGTAAGAAATGCACACTTCGGGATTAGCCCAGAAAATCTGTCAGCATGCCCGTTTGGACACTTGGCGGTCCAAACAAGCCATATTTCCTGGCAGGGTCTGGGCAGGGGCCAGAAAATACCACTAAAATGCTTAACTAAAAACGCCTTGCTCTGAATACTAATTTATAATTTATATTAGTCAATTTGAGCCTTTATAATTACATCCTCTAGCATATTAATGTATATTATGCATTCTGGGAAATTTTCAAATCCATTTAACCTATGTAATTTAGTTAAAATAGGTCAAAACTAATTATGGGAATTTAAAACGTCATTTCCAAGTTCCAGCCTAACTTCTCTGAAGAAGTCGACTCAGTTTCCAATTAAGTCGGCTCGTTCTCAAATGAGTTGGCTCCTTCATCAATCAAGTCGACTCAGTTTCCAACTGAGTCGACTCGTTTAGCAATTAAGCCGACTTAGTTGGAAATAAGTCGACTCATTCCTACTGCGAGTCGTCTTCTCCAACTCCGACGACTTCTACTCGCTCCCATCTCCTTCGTTAAGGGTCCTAAGTGTCTGTACTAAGTCCCAAATGATCCCAAATATTTATTTTAAGCCATTATGCATTATTAGAATGAATTAAAACAAGAAATCATGCATCAAGATTTAAAATCAAACAAACATATACACACACACTGTTTTTAATCCATTTAAACATGCAAACATGGTTGATTTTACTTTTTAATTATCTTGGAATTGACGTCCTAGGCATCTATTGAACACGTAGTCAAATGAGAAGAGTTAGAAGAAGAACTTACCTTATGGGTTTCGGATTGAAAACCTGGATCTTCTTCTCTTTATTCTTTCTTTGCTTTCTGGCGACCCTTGGGTTACCTTCGTTGCCCTCTGCTGCTTGAGGCCTAGCCCATGAACAACCCTTGCTCCTCCCTCTTTCTGGTTCGTCCTTCCCTTCCTTGGCTGCACCTTCTTCCTTCCTCTTTTTCTCTTACAAGTTCTCTCTCTAAAACTCGCCTCTTTCTGTCTGTTATAATATGTAAATAACCATTTTCTACAGATCTATATATCATATATATAGACTACCTAAATAACCTAATCATAATCCTACTCCAACTAAATCTTCTGAATTAATAGAAAAGAAAAGGAAAATACATATAATGTAATGTTTCTGATTATTTTTTATTTTTTATTTTTTTATTTTCCTAGATTATTTTCGTCTCGAGTTCTTTGGCCCTCCTGCCAAAGTATTTGATCAACTTCTATTGCTCACCCTTTTCTTTCTTGGCCTCCTTGAGGGAAGCCTTTAAAAACTCTACCCTCTTCTGAAGGGCAGTAGATTGGTTTGCTTGAAGAGAGTCGGCCAGAGCTTCTTCAGAAGAGCAAACATCAGAAAGGAACTATGCAGAAGAAATAGCAACATGTTACATAAACAGAAAACATAAATGATAAGGATGAAAAAAGAAAGGCCAAATAGTTTACCTTCATGATAGACTGGGAGTAAGAGAAAGAAGATCGTCAACGCTTATTTGCTGTTGAAGAATCTCATCTCTGGGCGGCCACATTCCTTTGGCCAAGCCTAACAAAACCTCCGTATCCTTGTATATAGAATCGGCGAGGGTGATAGAGGAACCATCAGCCTTTAACATCTAGGGAAAACCACCTTTTGATGGATCCCGCAAAGTCACCTTATGCGGTATCAACAACAGCAGGAACTAGTGCCCCTTTGCCTTTAAAAGCCCTAACCATGAGCTTAGGGCGCTTAGATGGAGGATCATCCTTCGCCAGAGATCGCTTGGGCGCCTGCCTAGAAGAAATTCCCTTATGTTTTTAAGGGAGAAGGGACTTGCTCACCTCAACAAGGGCATTCTTCCTTTCCTTCAGTAGTTTAGCAGTCGCCTCCCTCTCCTTCTTGGTCGTACGAGCCTTGGGAAGAGGATATTCTATTGCTGATTGAGAAAGAAGAAGAGGGGTATAGGAAGCAAAGTTAACCTTAGAATCAAAAGCCTCAAGGTCGATAGGCTCCTCAGGATTTTGTACAATCACGGGAGAATCCTTGGAGATCGCCTCAAGAAGAGAAGAAGAGAGCAAGAACTGAGCAGAGGAAATATTATTCCAGACGCACAATTGCAAGTACTCAAGCCGATTATTTACAAATTTCGAAGGAAAAAAGTTAGTCTTATGACCCAATAGGTTAAAAATATAACAAAAATGTTTAACTATACAGACAAAGCAAGAAGACTCGCCTAAATCGTCAAACGCAAGGACGGAAGGAGTATGAAAACTCGTCCAAACGGGGAAATACTGAGCAGAAGAGGAGTGCCACGCCCCTCTTACCTTAACAATCTTATCTTTCCATTCCTTATCGGAGGTACTAAGACCAGAAAAAAAGGTATCTACCCGTCTTAGAGTGGAAGTGGTACCTACCCTCCTCACCTTTTATTCTATTTAACGTGTAACAGAAGAGGAGGTCAGCTAGGTTCAGGGTTAGCCCACGAACCTTATTCAAAGAAAGAAGGCAAGAAAGAATGTGAAAAAAATTAGGGTTGACCTGAAGAGGGGTTAGATTCAACACCGACAAAACCTAAAGGTAGAAAGGATTTAAGGGAAATCTAAAGACAGATAAATGT